TTCTGACTTTGGATGAGGGAGGAATGGAGGAGGTCCCGTACAGTAAGATAGAGTGGGGCCTTGAAGAGGAAGACAGGAGTGTAGGTCAGGGGAGGTCCTATGCTGCTGTCGCGGCTGGAGGGAGGTCGCAAGGAAGAAGAGGAGGCTGGGGCCAAGGAGGCCGAGCCACAAGTGGTCGAGGACAGGAGGATCAGGGGTTTGGCGGCAGAGGAAACCGCCACGAGGGAGGCATGGGTCAAGGTCCCCCGCAAAACTGTCCACGTTCCAATCGGTCACCTTATAGGAGAGGAGGATGGCACCCTGGCTTGCCACAGGGCAGGCCTTGGGAAGACTTGGGCCTCGATCAGAAAGTCTGGCAGAAGAGGATAGACCAAGATCAATGCATTTACTGCAGTGGTCCGGGTCACATTACCAAATGCTGCCCAAAATATAGGGAGGCCCGATTTGCTGCACAGGCAGCAAAAGGCAACCGTCGGTAGGGGTCGCAACTGCCCTTACCCCTAGACCATGTGGAGAAGAGTGTGCGCACCATAGAGAAACTCCCAACCCACGTGTCTAAGGCAGAGGTTGCTGGCCAGTGCCTAGAAAGTTGTCCAGAGACTGCTTGTGTTAGGGTTTCTCAAGGCACGGCAGAAGAACTGAAGGAGAGAATGCCTGCTTGGGCCAAGATGAAGAAGGATGGGAAAGGACAACTAGTATTGGTAGATGTAGAGATTTTTAGAGGCAGAGTAGGGCCCCTTATAGACAGTGGGGCCACCCGTAGTTATATTAGTCGTAACCAGATACGGGCACTATAAGTGTATAGTGATGCCCTTTGGACTAACCAACGCGCCAGCTACTTTTCAGCGCTGTATGAATGACCTGTTTAGGCCATGGTTAGATAAATTTGTAGTTGTATACATAAATGACATCCTAGTGTTTAGTAAGACCCTCCAGGAGCATGAGGGCCATCTAAGGCAAGTCTTGGAGAAGCTGAGAGAAGCTAACTTCAAGATCAATGTGAAGAAGTGTGAGTGGGCCAAGACACAGGTTCTATACCTGGGCCACGTCCTAGATGGAGATGGCATAAAGGCTGAGGACAACAAGATAGCAACGATTAGAGATTGGCCGACTCCCCGCACATTGACAGAGCTGCGGTCGTTCTTGGGGTTAGCAAATTATTATAGAAAGTTCGTGAGGAACATCAATGCTCCCCTTCGCAGGTTGCTAAAGAAAGAGGCAATCTGGAAGTGGGATAAAGACTGCACAGTGGCCCTGAAGAAGTTCAAGCGGGCCTTAATAGAGTACCTTGTCTTAAGATAGCTGATCCATCATTACCATTCGTCGTCACCACTGATGCAAGTCAATATGGTATAGGTGCTGTTCTGCAACAAGACGATGGTAATGGATACAGACCCGTAGAGTTCATGTCTGCTAGAATGCCTTCAGAAAAGGTAGCGACATCCACCTACGAGAGGGAACTCTACGCTCTCAGGCAAGCGTTAGACCACTGGAAGCACTACTTGCTTGGGAGACACTTAAGTATATTCAGACCACGAGACACTAAGGTGACTGAAAACGCAGGCCAAGATGACACCAAAGCTAACTAGGTGGGCCGCAAAGATAGATTAGTATGATTTCGAGCTCAAGTCAGTCAAAGGGAAATACAATGTAGTTGTGGACGCTCTGAGTAGGAGATCGGACTACTTTGGAGCGATAGTGCACTATCTGGATATAGGGAGAGACCTACAACAGAGAGTCAAAGAAGCATATGCGCAGGACCCTATCTATAACAACCTCCTCAAGAGAGTTAAGGAGGCATCGGAATTGGAACCAGATTACCGCACTACAGACGACTTGTTATTTGAGAAGACTAGTGTTGTCGACCGCCTATGCGTTCCCAATAATTAAGAGATCCGAAGCTTGATCTTTGGGGAATGCCATGATACAGAGGGACATTTCGGTTGGCAGAAGACATTAGCCAACCTCATGCGTACGTGTACCTGGCCTGGCATGAAGGCCGACTGCATAGAATACATACACAGTTGCAAAGTATGTCAAAGGAACAAGACTACTACGCGAGCCCCTCTAGGTCTTCTCAGACCATCGCCTATCCCAGAAGGACCCAGAGATTCAGTGTCTATAGATTTCATGGACGCCGGCGTCAAAAGTAGACATGGCAAGAGCCAAGTCATGGTCGTAGTAGAAAGGTTTAGCAAGTTTGCCATTTTCGTTCCTTTGCCTTCTGAGGCACGCATAGATTTAGTGATCCGAAAGTTTTTCGACCACTAGGTCAATGAACATGGGCTACCGTTGTCTATAGTAAGTGACAGAGATACCCGGTTCACTAGTAAGAATTGGCACGAATTAACGAAAGTCTACGGATCAAAGTTGTTAATGTCGTCTGGCCGTCATCCAGAGACAAACGGACAGACCGAACAGATGAATAAAGTCCTTCAACAAGTTTTAAGGATGTACATTAGGCCCAATCAATTGGACTGGGATGAGATGCTCCCAAAAGTAGCCAGTGCCTACAATAATAGCGTGCACTTAGCCACTTGTCACACTCCCAATGAGCTACATAAGTGTTTTAAACCACGCAGACCGTTTGAAGGACTTAACCGGGATCAGATTCAGAGGTTACCGCCCGGTACCAAGGAGTTTGCGATACAGCACGAGAAAGAGATAGCTACAGTAGTTGACAACCTCAAGAAGGCCCAGCACAGAATGGTAAAACAAGCCACGCCCTTCACAGTTCCAAGTCGGCGACCTAGTCCGGGTCAAGTCAAAAGAGTTTGCTCCTGAGGCGAACATCTCGCAAAAGCTGCTACTTGCTTATAGAGGACCCTGGCCAGTCCTAGCAGTCAAGGGTGGAGAGGATGGACCATCCTATACGATAGAGATTGCAGCACACCTCCACACCTGCCCAGTTTTCCATGCATCAAAGTTGTTACCTTGTACAACGAGCCAACAGTTTCCATCACCAAGGTCTATGATTCCTCCAGATATGGATGGGAGGTACAACATTCATGGCATAGTAGGTGAGGATGTCTTCAGAACAGGAGGTAGAGGTCGTCCACAGAAACAGTACAAAGTCAGATTCTCTTATAAAGAACCTGAAGACGACCGCTGGTTCACCAGAGCAGAACTTCTAGAGACAGCTCCCAATATAGTCCGAGCCTATGAGAGAGATGAGAAGGGTAAAGGTCCGGCCTTGGACTGAAGTATTCTTGGAGGACCTCGAATTTAGGCCGGCGGGAGTGAAACGGTTTCCACCTTTGCGGAAGCAGATGCAGATCCAAGGGTTCGATCCCTAGACCTTACCTGCACCCGTGTACAGTATCGAGTAGGACCCTGTGTGTTTTGAACCCGCGACCTGTGTTAAGTAGTGACTGCACCTTGTCATAGGTCCCTGTAGTTGTAGGGGTTCGATCTGTAGATCTGTCAAGTAGGGGTTACAGATGTGCAGAGGTCGAAACTGCTAGACTAGAGGTCTGTAGGTAAGTCGTAGGTCCAGCTGCGTCGAGTAGGCAGTGCGACTGCATCGAGTCAGCAGTGAAACGCCGTGCAGTCAGCGGTACCGGTCCAGTCAGTCACAGTCCAGTCAAGCAAGTACTCTGTGGGACTGTGTGCACCGAGGGCCTGGAGGAAAGGGGCAGACCAGCGACCAACAGAAGTATAAATCAAGAGGCAGCGTCCAGGGATTATTCATTCGCTGCCTAAAGCACTGTCTCAAGCGACTTGTGCGAGGTGGTCTGCAGAGCGCCTGAGGTCGAAGAGGGCTGGAAGAAGTCAGCGTAGCCATAGTTATTGGTGGAGAGACCATAGCCGCTGTAGTTAGGAGAGAGACGCAAGTGTGTGTGTGGGGGGGGGGGGGTTGTATTCAGGGTGATCCAGGGTTGAGTGTGTGCGAACAGTGGTGTTGGATACCATAACGAGAGTTGGGTTGTACAGGCGCTGAAGCGCCAGCCTGTTGAAGCAAGTTTGCGCCTGAACTGTGTTCTCGAGTTCCATATCTCTGAGTTTTGAGTGGGCGCTGTGCGCCAGTGTGAATCGCCATCTGTTTGCATGTATGTGAAGCAGAAAAGAAAGCGAGTCTGATTGCAGATTTCTGATTACTACCGTACTTGCAACCGCACATGTTTGCTGCGAACAAAAGAAAAAAAAAAAAAAAGAAACAACTGTGCACAGTGCAGTGCCGTGGGAAATAGTTCACTTCCATCTTACCCCCCCCTCCCACCTTTCTCATCAATGAATCGGACCTGAAAGCTAGGTCGTATACACGCACGATAAGGGCATGTTGGCTGCTTCGCAACCTGTGACTTCATATCACTAATACGATTGGACTGCCCTCCTCCCCCAACGACAACGCACCCTTGTCATAAGCGTATCAAACCGAAAAGATAGCTTGTATGCATTCATAATCGGGGTGCCTTTGCGTTCGGGGGAGGACGGTGTAGACAGAAGAGGGGTTCTGCTGTCTAGTCTTAAGCCACCAGTGCTTCGGGGCGGTGGGAGGCTTTCTTTTGCCGATGCGGATTCCCCCCTGCACACAAACAAACAAAAAAAAAGATAAAAAAATGGATCGCCACAGGCCCTTTTTTGGCTGGTGCCGCCAGCCATTTTGCTCCAGGAGGCCGACCTCTGAAACACGTGGCACAGGCTCAACCCTGTTGGAGAAAAATCACCGGAGAAAGTACTGCTGGTGGTTTAATCACTTTAATCAACCCCATACCAGAAATTTAAAAAAACACAAAATTTGACAACCAGCACATAATTTTTTTTTTTGGGGGGGGGAAGGGGGGGAAGACATACACAAGGAAAAAAGGAAGTGCAACACGAAGTACAACAAAACAGGTGCAGTTCACACAAACATAAAAAAAAAGTGTACATTCACTATAAAAAACGATCATGAAAATAAAAACGGCAAAAAGAAAGTGAAGGTTAATCAATAATTATTATTACCTTAATTCAAGTTAATTGCATTTAATTTCACACGAAACCTTTTGAGTTTCACGTACCGCAACATCCCCATTCGGCAAGCAGCAGCTCTCCAAAAATGTCCGTGCCAGGCCGCCTGCTGATCGCGGATCGAACTCGCCCTGCACAAATCCTCTCCGTCCATTCAAAAGGATTTCGCACACAGCAGATGCATTCATAGCAGTGATGCTACCAACACATGACAAGGGCAATATGTTCTTTACTTTTTTCCTTTCATTCACAGTCAGTCTGTTTGATGGCTGAAACCTCACTTATTTCTTGTTCGCTGCCACAATTTTCACCAAATGATTTATAAAAAAAAGAAGAAGCGGGGCAATAATTTTCAGAATGAAAAATCGCCCAAGATGCCTTTGTCAAAAATGTCCTCGCCCACTCACTATTTTGTTTTGTTTTTTTCTTTTTCTGTTAACCTTTTTGATGTGTGTGTGTGTGTGTAATTGAGAGAGAGAGAGAGAGAGAGAGAGAGAGAGAGAGAGAGAGAGAGAGAGAGAGAGAGAGAGAGAGAGAGAGAGAGAGAGAGAGAGAGGC